CTCGGGGGGCCCGCGCGGGCGCCGCCAAAAACAGCTCTGCCCCGGCGGGGTCGCGGGGTGCAGAAAGCACACACAGGCATCCCTACGTACTGGCATACAATCAAGCCGTATAATAAGATGCACGATAAGGATGCAAGGGCTTTGGCAAGCCATGTCGTCACTTTGCGGGCGGGGCGCGGCCAGCGAAAGTCGCCAAGGATAGGCCGGAGGGGCAAGGATGCAAGGGCAAGTTTGGAAAGCCGTCCATCCTTAGTATGCGGGTTGACTGCTTCTTTTATTCGCAAATCTTCAATATACAATAGAAACGTGGGGGCAACAACGAACATCCATCAAGAGCACTGGCCCCTTCGCCAGGAGCACGACGCTCCATGGAGATGTGCCAGACGAGGGTCATTCCGATGTGGAGCGCGCACACGCGAAAAACGTCAGGCCCTCCCCAAGCCTACAGCCTGAGAAAAAAACTGGAAACACAATTTCGCACTTTTCCAATGTATATACTTGCGCACATGCGATGCCCAAAACAACCCCAAACAGTCACATCGCGCAGCGCACGCACGCCGAGCCGACGTGGGCGAAAAACTTGGTCAACATTCTGCGCCGCTTGGGTCGTGCTTGGGCGGTGGCCCTTCCGAGCTCGAAGCTCCATGAGACTCTCCGACCCCTAATTTAATACCATCGTGAGTGAATGTCGGACGCGCATTAAATGCCGCATAGGTGGTACACGTTCATACACCAGGTGCATCCTGATGGCGGCTTCAAGCGGTCTCAAACGGGTCTCAACCAAATCGCCATGAAACCCTCGGCGCCGAGCACACCCGCGCGTCTCACACGGTCTCGCAGCGACACGAAACCCTCGACGCCGAACGCATGCTTGTGCTTCACGCGGTCTCAGAGGGCTCCGAAATCCTGCGTGCCGAGCGCATCCGCCTATTTCACTAGGTCCCAAAGTGCCACGAAACCCTCGGCGCCGAGCAAACCCGCACGTTTTCACACGGGCTCACAGCGACACGAAACCCTCGGCGCCGGACGCATGCGTGTGCTTCACGCGGTCCCAGAGTGCCCCGAAACACTGCGCGCCGAGCGCAGTTTTGCGTTACAATCTGTCTCGAAGTGCCACGAAACCCTCGGCGCCGAGCACATCCCCGCGCTCCACACGGTCTCACAAAGACACGAAACCTTCGGCGCCGAGCGCATGCGTGAGCTTCGCGCGGTCTCAATGCCCCGAAACCCTGCGCGCCGAGCGCATCCGCGCGTTACACTAAATCTGAACATGTTATGGAAACCCTCGGCGCCGAGCACATCCGTGCGTCTCACACGGTCTCACAGCGACACGAAACCCTCGGCACCTCAACGACGGCAATGCTGATGACACACAAACACACGCGCACACACACACACGCAAACCTACACAGACACAGACACACAGACACACACAGACACACAGAAACACGGACACACAGACACACAGACACACAGACACACAGTCACACAGTCACACAGTCACACAGACACGCAGACACACAGGCACACAGACACACAAACACCTACACACAGGCACACCCAGGCACACACAGATACGACACACACATACACACACATAAAGACACACACACAGACACGCAAAGACGCACACAACCACACACAGACACGGACAGACATCCACAGACACACACACACAGACACACAGAGACATACACAGACACGCGCAGACACACACAGACATACACAGACACACACAGACACATACAGTCACACGCACACGCAGACACACAGAGACACACACAGACACACACAGGCACACACAAAGACACACATGCACAGACACACACACACAGACACACACAGACACACACAAATACACACACGCACAGACACACACACACACACGCAAACACACAGACACACACAGACACACAAGCACACACACACAGCAACACAGATACACAAAGACACACACAGACACACACAAACACACACACAAGCGCACAAACACACACAAACGCACAAACACCCACACACACAAACACACACAAACACACACACAAACTCACACAAACACGCACAAACACACCCAACCACACACACAAGCAGACAGAACACAAACACACACAAGCAACACGCACACAAACACATACTCACACACAAACACACACGCACACACACACGCACGCACACAAAACCCACACACACAAACTCACACAAACACGCACAAACACACCCAAACACACACACAAGCACACACAGAACACAAACACACACAACACGCACACAAACACATACTCACACACAAACACACGCACACACACGCACACACACAAAACGCACACACACAAACTCACACAACCACGCACGAACACACCCAGACACACACAAGCACACACACACAGAACACACACCCACAACACGCACACAAACACATACTCACACACAAACACACACGCACACACACGCACACACACACGCACGCACACACGCACGCACACACCTACCCCCCATGATTTCTGAGGGGGAGGGTGGGGTTCACTTCGCTTGGAAGCTTCCGAACGAAGTGAACCCCACCCTCCCCCTCAGAAATCGTGGGGGGTAGGGGTAGGGTTCGCATGTGGCCCCCTATACCCTGCCCTCCTGGGGGTCCTCCTTTGCGATGTAGTTCCGCGGAGGTGCCCTCCGTGCTCCAGGGCCCCTCGCGGATTCTGACCCCCTCAGCGGGTAGCTGGGCTCATTCCATACATGGCGTAACGGGGGTGATCATCTCCCCAGCCTGAGAATGGATGCTAGCCACGCTCGGGACGGTATCGCGCCATAAATGGTGCTAGGGAGGGACTGTGATTGGCCATATGACTTTCCCGCCAGGACACGTAATACCAAAAAAACATGGGAAACTAAGACAGCGTGATGGCCAGCGCGACGGCGAGAGCAACATTCCGACGTGAACGCGCAACCACGCAATAACGCAAGCACGCAATGAGCAATCATACATGTGCAGGAATTGGGACGCCGAGGGAGCTTAGTACCACTGGAGCCCTGATGACGACGCCGCAGAGAGCGCGGCAGCGACGCGAGCGCGGGATGCACCCCGAACTGTAAGCCCGAGAAATTGCCCATCGACATGATGTTGGGACGCCGAAGGAAGACAGTACCATTCGCACCCTGATGGGGATGCCGCCAAGAAAGCGGCACCGATGGGGGCGTGGATTCCGTTTCCAAGCAATTATTCTTGGACTGTAGGGCTGTCCTAATCCCTCGTTCCATCTGTATGTATGTCTGTGTTGGACATGTATATATCTATATAAATGTACACATATACATATATATATACATATATATATATATGCATACATCGATACACACATGCACACACACGCATACATGCATACATACATGCATACATATGTATCTCAGAATGAGGGGGCCGGACGGTCATTCATTGTCCCTGGGTGCGTGGCTGAATGGGGATCCGTGGTGAAGATTCTGCTTGTTGCATTGTTGCGTTGTTGTTTGTTTGTTGTCGTCGTCCCACCCGCGACCCAAACGCGACTCACCCAGCGACCCACCCCACGGCCAACCCCGCGACCCACCCCGCAACCCACCCAGCGACCCACTCGCGACCCACCCCGCGACCCACCCGCGACCCGCCCCGCGACCCACCCGCGACCCACCCCGCGAACAACCCGCGACCCACCCGCGACCCACCCGCGACCCACCCCGCGACCCACCCGCGACACACCCGCGACCCACCCCGCGACCCACCCGCGACCCACCCGCGACCCACCCGCGACCCATTTGCGACCCACCCACGACATAGCCGCGACCCATTTGCGACCCATTTGCAACCCACCCGCGACCTACCCACATTGGTTTAACGAGAAAATCGGCGCCTGCGGCGGGCCTTTTGTATACTTTGTGAAACATTGGCGCCGGCGGCGGGCCTCTCCAGACGTCCCCTTGGCGCCTTGGCACCAAGGCGCCACTTTGGCGCCTTGGCATCTGCTTTATGCAGACGTCCCCACCGCCCCCTCACTCTTATCCGCATCTGCGGGGTGCTACGTTTGTGCATATATGTATGTATGTAGGTATGTATGTAAATGTAGCTGCACACGTATACATATACATATGTGCATATAAACATACACATACAAGTGTCTGTATGTATGTGTGTATACATATATATGTATATATATATATATATATATATACACGCACTGATCTACATACATACGTGTGTGTATGTGTATATATATACATACACGACCGCCCTGGCCCATTTATGGGTCTCCAAAAGAGGCCGAACAAACCCGCACCCGCGAACTCAGCCGCGCTGCGAGCTGGGCCCGCCCCGCCCGGCTCCGCTGGCCCCCGTAACCGGGGCCCCATCTGGACCGTGGTACCGAGTCCCGGCCCCAGCTTACCGGTGAGGGCATTTGATCAGGAGCCATTGGGTAATAAACCCACGGTCTGGAGGCCTGTGGAACTGTGAAATGGCAACGGGTATTACCGCCGCCCTCATCAGATGAGGAGTCCTCCGGGGTCTGAAACCTCCTGGGCACATTCCTTAACGAACGGAACGTCCCCACAATACGAGGAGGACCCCTGCCTGAATCAAATGCTTCCGCATTGCGCTAGAGAAAAAACCCAATAAGTGGATGGGTCGTTATTCGCCGACGTGCCTAGGGGCATGAAGTAGAGTGTTCCCAAAGCTTCAAGAATGCTCTATACCCTAAACTCTAATAGAGGCCCCGACCATGCATTTCTGGACTGTTCGTGCTCCAATTCGCAGAGCGGCGCTGTGCTTAATTTACCTCGAAGCATGCGCACTCGCCACTCCTCCCCTCATTAGCAGAGCGTTGCTCTGCTAATTGGCCTCGAAACAGGGTTACCCATCCTCCTTGGGCTCTGATTGGCACAGCGCCGCTCTGCTAAGTGGCCTCAGAGCATCCGCGCGATCACTGCTCCTCCTCTCATTAGCAGAGCGCCGCTCTGCTAATTTGCCTCAGAGCACG